CAGGGGACACAAATAATCATCCAAGCGTTTCTTGAAGAGTTGCAGAGACGTAGCCTCCACTACTGACTGAGGGAGATCGTTCCATTTCTCCACTACCCTCTAAGGGAAAAATTCAGAACGAAGATTCAGTCTGGACATTGTTGTCCGTAACTTCATCGAGTGACCACGAAGATTGGATGAAAGGTGCCACTGAAACATGTCTTCAAATTTAAGCCCATGCTCAAGGCCACGTATTATCTTGTAGACGAGGATAAGATCACCCCTTTGTTGCCTGTAACACAGAGGTAATAAATTAAGGCAATTCAGTCTCTCTGTGTAGGATTGGTTTTTTAGACCGTTTACCAGTTTTGTTGCACGCCGTTGTACTCGTTCGAGACATGCTTGGTCCTTTACTAGCCACGGCCGCCATGCTTGTATGCCATATTCTAAGTGGGGCCGAACAAAAGTGCCGTAAACTCTCCCAAAAGTATCTTGGTCAAAGTTTACGAAAGCCCTTTTGATTGTATGCAGTACTCACATGGCGTTTTTTGCAGCCTTGTGGCACTGCAGTGTTGGTTTCAGGTTGTTCTGTATCCGAACCCCGAGATCCTTTTGTGAAGATTCTGCAGGGAGCCTTATATCTTTCAGGGGATAGGTCCTTAGGCTCTCATTTGAATGAGAGTTGGTTGGAGGGCACACTTCTTTACATTGAAATCTAGAAGCCATTTCCTCGACCATGCTTGCAGTTGGTGCAGATTATCTTGAAGGAATCTCTGATCATTCGGTCCCTTAATGACTTGCCAGAGCTTAAAATCGTCTGCAAACATTATTTTGCCGCAGTCGAGTTCCTGAAGGCTGTCATTAACATAAAGGATGAAGAGCAATGGTCCCAGAACTGAGCCTTGCGGTGCACCACTGGTCACGTTCACCCATTCTGACACATCATCTCCGATTCAGACACGTTGTTTTCGACCAACTAGAAGCGCCTTTATCCAGTTCAGAAGATCTCCCCAGATGCCGATGGCGCTCAATTTGTGAAGAAGACGTTGGTGCGGGACAGTGTCAAAAGCTTTGCGGAAATCGATGTACACGACATCGACCTCAAAACCCTCTTCTAGAGCCTTGGTCCAGATCTCCAGACAAGCTAGCAGATTTAAGAGGCAGGAACGTCCTCTCCGGAAGCCATGTTGAAAATCCTGCAAGATGTTATTTTCTTCACAAAACTGCTGTATAGCGCTCTTTACTATAGCTTCCATCGTTTTGAAATGGAGGCAAGTTAAGCTAATAGGCCTGAAGCTGCTTGCTGTCATCCTGCTACCTCCTTTATGCAATGGAACGAGATTAGCTGTCTTCCACTGTGAGGGCCGCCTTCCTGTTCTCATTGACAGCTCAAAGAGAGTCGAAAGAGGCTTTGACAGCTCCGTTGATCGCTCCTTAAGTATTAGTCCGGGAATTCCGTCGGGTCCAGGAGACTTATCAGGTTTTATTTGACTGAGGATGCGTCTGACCTCTTTGACGGAAAATGCGACGGTTACAAGGACGGCAATATCTTGGCGCATTTGAAGCTCCTGGCCGTCTCGGTCCATTTCAAACTGCTGATTTTTTTCTGAGGACTCCTCCGTAAAAACCGATTGAAAAAACTGAGACAGTGATCGCACTCCCTCTGGCCCTTCAACTAATAAGTTTCCGAGGCTATCCTTTAGACACGCAATTTCGTCTCTATGTTTCCTCCTACTGCGGATGTACCCGTAAAACTTCTTGGGACATGTAATGGATTCTGCTATGAGTCGGCGCTCGAAAGAAGTTTTAGCAACCCGTATTTGTTTGCGGCATTTATTGCGCTGATCCTTATATTCGGCGAATGACCTTGGATCTCGAAGTTGCAAATACTTTTTCCACAGTCTCTGTTTCTTCTTCATGGTCTTTTTTGTCGTCGGATTGACCCACGGTGGTCGCGAACATGGTCTTGTTATTTTTATTGGAAAATGGGAATCAATTAGACGCTCTATAATCCCACGAAAGTACTGCCAAAATTCGTCTGAATCTTCTGTCTTGACCAACCAGGTTTCCTCCAAAAGAGTGCGTCTCATCGCGTTAAAGTTACCCTTCCAAATATTTCTGCGACTCTTGATTTTTGGTTGTTGGTTGGATAAGAGAGAGCACACGCAGGTAAAAGCAATATGATCGCTCAAACCGAGTGGAGGTTGTGGACTCACTTCCCTTATGACTCCTTCTTTACTGAAAACGAGATCTAAACAGTTAGATCGTTGTCCTTCTCTCATTCTTGTTCCGAATTTTATGTGCTGAATGAGGTATTCATTCAGGGAGAGTTGTAGTAGCTTGTGGTCACATGACGTGGACGGGGCGTTTGTTAGGGGAATGTTCCAGTCTATTCCTGGAGCGTTGAAGTCACCCAGAAGTACTAAGTTCTCCTGCTTACATAACAATTCCAGTGCACTAAGTAATTCCATATCTGCGATTTCATTCGAGCTGGGAGGCCGATAGACAACACACAGGTTCAGTGTCGGTAATTGTTTGATACATATCTTGCATGAAATTATTTCGATATTTCGGGGCGCACCATCGGGTATTTCTCGTTGACAGCACGCAATTTCATTGGACACATAAATCGCTGTGCCTCCTCCTCTACGTTCAAGTTTGGCATACTTTATCTTCAATTTATATCGATGTCCTCGGAGATTTGTCGTTCTTGCCAGTTCAAAGAAATCGGCCAATTTAAGTGCACAGTCTGCTGCTCTGATGATTATGAAGGCTGTGATCATGCCTCCTCTGTATGGCCTTTAAAAGATTAAAGAAGTTTGAGTCCTCACAGCCGTTCCTCATAAGGAAGGCTCTTCAGCGCATTGACTAGTTTAGTCGCTCTTCGTTGACCCTTCTGCAAGAGAATGTGGTCTTGCTTCATCCAGGGGTGCCACGCCTAAATGCCATATTCTAAAATCCGCCGAATTAATGTTTTAAACAGTCGACCGAAAAGCTCTTCGTCAAAGTAGAGAAATGGTCTCCTGATGGCCCTTAGGATGCCCCTAGCGTTCTTTGCTATTTTGGCGCAGTGAGACAAGGGTTTGAGAGTGGGCGTCATCCACACACCTAGGTCCATTGCCTCGTTTGCAAGCTCGAGTTTGTGACCTTCGACGAAGTACCGATATTCAGGTCTCGAATCTTTTCTGTAACTAGACTTTAGTCGGGTGGATTGGCATTTGTTAAAACTGAGGTTGAGAAGCCATTCATCGCGCCACTGTTGCAGTCTATCTAAGTTGTTCTGTAAGTTTAACGCGTCTTCCGATTTTTCAATCGAAATCCACATCTTCAGACCATCAGCGAAAACGATCTTATTGCAGGTTAGAGAATCTACGCAATCGTCCACATATATTTAGAACAGAAAAGGATCCAGAACTCTCTCTTGCGGAACCCCGCTATTGAAGGTTTTCCTCTCCGATTTAGCGTCACCAGTGCACAAACGCTGACGTCGGTATGTGAGGAAATCGGTTAACTGCTTAAGTAAGTTACCAGTCACACCCATTTGATGCAGTTTCGATATGAGCCGTCTGTGTGGCACCATGTCAAAGGCTTTACGGAAGTCAATGTATACGGCATTTACTAACAAGTCCCTCCCTAAGGATTTCGTCCTGCTTTCCATTGATGTGCGCATGTTAGTGAGACAGTATCGACCACCCCAAAGTCCATGTTGATGCGCACTAGGCAAGTCGTCTTCCTCAATATGTCTCCTCGGCTCCATCTTCACTATTTTCTCCATTATTCTACAACCAACGCTCGTGAGGCTGATTGGTCTGAAGCAATTTGGCGGGGTTCTTTCTCCCCCTTTATATATTCGACTGGTGTTGGCTAGCTCCTAGACTGTAGGCAGGGTCTCCGCCTCCATGAACTTTAGATGATCTTGGAGAGCGGGAAGGTTAGTTTGTCTGCGGGTTCGTTCATAACTTTTGTGGACATGCCATTCGAACCAGGCGATTTAGTGGTTTTTAGCTGTCCCAAAGTTTTTGTACTGCGTCCATTGTGAACGTCACCATGTTAATTAAATTTCTAGATAATGAAATTTTTCGGTAAACTTTTCGTCAAAAGGTGGTTCCTCCGTATGCGCGGAAATAAGGAAGTCGGATAAGAGATTCATCTTATCTGAGGTGTTAGTCAACTTATTTCCCTGACAATTCTATAGACAACGGGTGCAGTCCCATTAGCGTTTTGTCCTATTCACGTATGCGAAGAACTTCTTTGAATTTTCCGGTATTTCTCTGACTATTTTGACTCAAATTCTTCTCGCTCTGTCCTCAGGAAACTCCGACACCTATTTTGCTCTTTATTAAATTCTGTGAAATATTCGGACAGTTGACATATAATGTATCTCTCCTACAGTCTCCTCTTCTTCCTGAGGCTTCTTTATATTTCCGATGTCACCCACTCTGGTCGGGGGATGCACGATCTCCTTTTGGTCAGACAACAGTTCTCCACCAAGTATCGAGTCAAGTTCTTAATGAAAACGCAGGTGGCGTTTGCGCCAGATACATGTATAGGGTTCCACTCTATCTCAGTCAGTAGTTCTTTCATTTTGAGACAATCCATTTTGATCAAAAGAAGAAGCGATCGCTGGAACAAGGTCTTTATTCGCCTGACGTTTCGGATTCACACTTATATCCATTATCAGAGACAGTAGCAGAAAAGGGTGACTCGTGCACAGGAAGTCGCAGTATTTACAGGATGCAGTCGCTTTGCTACCGCATACCTATAGCAATTAACCGCGCTCCCCTTCATGAAGGATCGTTGCCCACCGGTGCGCTAATTGCTAGCTGGCCGGCATGCAAGTTGTTAATTACCGAAATGTCATCATCCGTGTTGGATGCTGGCGTGATGATTTCTCGGTCATCTGGCTCACCGGCTTGCGCGCGCCCCGAGTGGTCAAGTACCTTGGCCAGCCTATGCCTCAGCACGGAGTTCGCAGTGGGCATGTCGTTGCACTTGTTGATAGATTGAGGTCCCGTAAACCATGACTCAAACAACTCGTGGTTCACACGATTATCCCCTCTCGCGAGAATTTCGGCCCCATCGAACTTGAATGTGTGGCCGGGTTTCGTCGAATGGGCCGCGACCTGAGAGTTGGCGTCATTCCTCCGTACCGCTGCCGCGTGTTCGGCAATTCGAGCAACTTCGTCAACCGATGAATGCGCAAACGAGACGAGCGACAAAACCATGCCGACCCTAAATTCTGGCGAGCGATTCCGTACATCAAGAAAGTCTCCGAGGCCGTTAACCGCCCTCTTGCACTTCTTGGGGTTGGAGTTGCACACAGACCGGAGGCCACCATGAGGCGTCAGGTGATGAGACCAAAAGACCCGCTGCCACGGCATGAAACATCTGGAGTCGTTTACCGGATCTGGTGCAGTTGCGGACAAAGCAACTACGTCGAAAAAACTGGAAGACTGCTCCGAACGCGAATTGCCGGACACGCGGCAGCGGTACGGAGGAATGACGCCAACTCTCAGGACGCGGCCCATTCGACGAAACCCGGCCACACATTCAAGTTCGATGAGGCCGAAATTCTCGCGAGACGGGATAATCGTGTGAGCCGCGAGTTGTTTGAGTCATGGTTTACGGGACCTCAATCTATCAACAAGTGCAACGACATGCCCACTGCGAACTCCGTGCTGAGGCATAGGCTGGCCAAGGTACTTGACCACT